AGCTGCATTCAAAAGAAGATGGAAGAAGTGGAGACGTTCGAGCCTTGCTCTGATGAGCATGTAAAGGAGATCCTTGCCCTTGATGCCTCAGCGCACAGCGACTGGTCAGCCATTTCGGCCGTCACCGACGAGGAGGGCAACACCATCGAAGTCTTCAGACAAAGGGTACTGTTAATTCCATACGGCTGCAACACTGGTCGATTGATTCGAGTCACCAATAATCAATCACCCATCTCTAAGCTCGCATTCTAATTTTATTATTATTATAATTATAATTTATGTGGCTTGTTCAATCATCCAAGATGGACACCGGCCTGGACAAGCTGAAGGCTCTCGTGACGACCGTGCACATCACGGCTGACGTCGTACACGAAGTGCTTTACAACATCGAGACGCGAGTGAATTGGGATCACGGCGGCAAGGACATGCAGGTCGTGGAGAAGATCGACGACGAGCTCGACGTCATCTACTTCTGGGCCAAGGCCCCGCCCACGTTCACCAACCGCGAGTTCCTGCAGAGCCGACTCACCAGGACGCTCGACGACGGCACCCGGGTCATCATCTACCGCTCGGTCAAGCACGACAAGTTCCCTGAGAAGCCCAAGAAGTTCGTGCGCGCCTACACCAAGCTCTCCGGCTACGTCATCAAGCCCAACCCGAGCGGCGAGGGCTGCCGCGTCACCTTCCTCAGCCAGAACGACATCAAGGCCTCCATTCCCTCGGTACGTACGCTCCACTTCAGCTCTCTTCTCTCTTCTCTCTCTCTTCTTGTCCAGCACACCTGCCGGGGCTGAGTGTGTAAGTGGGGCGCGGTGGCTGACGTGCACGTACCTACACGTTTCCATGTAGTGGGTCGTGAACCTGCTGGCCAGCTTCTTCATGAAGAAGTGGCTCAACACCCTGCGCGATGCCTGCAACAATCAGCTCAAGGAGAACGCCAAGGCCAAGGAGTGAAGCAGCCAACTGCTCCAACAAATTGTTGGCATGCCCGTCATGCCTCAAATATTTATGTCCGACTCATTTTAAAATCGAGCCAACAAGCCGCAGCAGCGCGAAAGCCGCACCAGTTGGTGTACAAAAAACAATGAATAATAAATAAATATAAGGAGTAAGGAGCCCGCAGAGAGCTCGTCTGTCGGAGAGGCGAGGGTGTGAGGGGAAGAGGAAGAGGGACAGGCCCCGGAAGTTCCGCTGCGGTCGCGCGCAATCACCACCTTTAGGCTGCGACCGCAGGTGGTGGTCAGAGAGAACGGGGATAACCTCGACCTACCATAAGTTGGGTGGTAACTAACAGGAGCACGTGGAATTTCAGGCCAGCTCCGCTGCGGCAGGCCAATCCGCTCGCTTGCGGCTTCTGGTCTGCGGATGGCGCTTGCGGATTGGGGCGCCGCAATCTCTCGGCGGTCGGTCATTGGTGCCCTTCATCTTGCCGCAGAGCGCCGCAGGCCGCAACGCAAAAGAGCCGCAGGGCGAAAGAGCTGCTGGGCGCCCGGCCCTGTATAAAAAAACCGTCTGATCCCCCTGCCCACAACACAAACCCCCTCCGACCCACACACCACGAGCCCAGTTCGAACTGAACTGAACCGAATCGGCCTTCAATCACACTCAACACAAACAAACAAACAGCAGCAAATGGATCAGCAGCAGCAGACCGAAGAGCGCAGGACGATGGCCATCAGCTTTCTGGTCAACCCCGAAGACCAGGAGCTCTCCTTTCCGTGGATGCAGCGGCAGCCGTCGATGAGCTCGCCGCCCTCGTCCCCTTCGTCTTCGCTCCTGCTGGACAACGACAATGACTACGATGACAACTACCAAGTCGACGCAGAGCCATCTTCAACGACTTCTTCTTCTTCTTCTTCGCCCTCGGGCTCCTTCTCCTACTCCTCTTCTTCCTATCCCTCTTCGCCCTCGTCCCACATCAACCTGTTCCCCCTCCTTCCCTCCTTCGCCACCATCGCCTCCGCCGCCACCCCGTTCTACTTGTCGCCTCAGTCGCCTCCATCTTCTTCTTCTTCTTCTTCTTCGACTTCTATGCCGACTTCGACTTCCACGCCCTCGGCCTCGCCGTCGTCGCCCAGCTCGAGCTACGCGCCATCGCCTTCGGCCTCGTCCACCGTGGCCGAGCTGCTCGAGGGCCTCATTCACACCATGGGACCCCACGCCTTTGCCAACCACGCCACATCGTCGTCGTCGTCGTCGTCGTCGTCGTCTACGTCGCCGGCGTCGGTGGCGATGAAGGAGAGCCGCGGCCGCGGCAAGGGGCGTCGCCAGGCGTCGGCCGGCCAGGTGTCGCTGCTCGAGGAGGTCTTTGCGCTGGAGCCCATTCCGACGGCCCTCACCAAGGCCCGGCTGAGCCAGCTGCTGGACATGCCCACCAAGCGCATCCAGATCTGGTTCAAGAACAAGCGCGCCCGCCAAAAGAAGGGCCGCTCGAGGAAGGAGCCCTTCACCTTCCACTACTTCGCCGCCGCCGCTGCGGCCGCCGCGCACCAGCAGTTCCAGCTCGGCGGTGGTCTTGTCGCGACCAACAAACACAACATCAACACCGCCGCGGGCCTCAACCGCTTCCGGCCAGTCAAGCCCTCCTCCACCAACTTCGGTGGTCTCGTTTACTGAGCGCCTCGACCTCCTCTTCTTCCGTTCCCCGCGTGCTGGTCGTGCGCGGGGTCCTATGTCTAGAACCCTAAGTTATTTATTTGTAACCTAATACACATACACCATTGTCACCGACACATGTTGCTTTCTTTATTATGATAATCCTAATGGAAGGGACCGCTACCATCGTCCACCATCGTCCACGACCTCGTTTGTTGATTTTAGCCCAAGTACGTTCCCGCCCAACCAGCCAATGGACACTCGCTCGCACGCCGCCGCACGAACGTGTGAACATGGCGACATTCCGCCCCCCTCCTCTTCTACTGGTCCCACCGTGCGAACGCCAGGCCATGCCTCTTCCGTTGGGTTGGTGGAATTTTTGAACCGTGGGAAGCCATCAGAGAGCGCAGGGCGATGTGGTACTTCGAACACATACATTGCGCTTTCACCGCAGAGCCCCAGGTTCGATTCCTGGCGTCGGCAACAAACTGAGCCGACGTGGTGTAGTGGTAACACGCTTCCTATCGTCCACATGCCGCCATCTCTCTGCTTTTGCCCCACCCACCCTCGGCGGTTTGATGATCTCATTCTTGTCCACCAGTTGGACAAACATAACAGGGGGAAGCCAATATATTGTCTACACCGCAAGTATGTCGCGCGCTGCTGGCGCCTATGTACAAGGGAGGGTAAATAAAATAGAACAGGTGAGGTTGGCGTGATGGCGAAGCGAACGCCGCAGAATACTGCGTGTCGCGTGGAAGGTGGGATGGCGGAGAGAGTTAGTGTTGCGGTGGAGAAGGAGAAGAGGGTGTGGCAGTGTAGACGACCGACCGATGACTCCAGCGGGCCGGCAAAGAGCGGATAAATAGACCAGGCCCAAAAGACGGGGCTGTGTAGTGGGGGAACGCCGTCCGCCGTTCTACAGGTTGATGGCGAGTTCGTCGATGTCGCGCAGAGCGGCGGCGATGTCGGCGTCGGCAGGCGGCGCGTCGCTGTAGAGGTGACCCGCGGCCGCGGCGACTCCGCCGTTGACCAGATCCCAGAGATCATCCTTGAGCAGATCGTCGAGCGGTGGGCCGCCGTTCGGGGCCAGGTTGGTGGTGGTGCTGTCGTTGTTGGAGAAGTCCACGTACGAGGGGCTCGCGCCGCCCATCATCGCCGCGGTCGAGGCCAGG